GAGAGAGAGAGAGAGAGAGAGAAAGAGTGAGAGAAAATGAGAGAGAGAGAGAGGAAGAGTGAGAGAAAATGAAAGAGAGAGAGAAAGAGTGGGAGAAAATGAGAGAGAGAGAGTGAGAGAAAATCAGAGAGAGAGAGAGTGAGTGAAAATCAGAGAGAGAGAGAAAGAGTGAGAGAAACTGAGAGAGAGAGATAAAGAGCGAGAGAGAAAGAGCGAGAGATAAAGAGTGAGAGAAAAAGAGAGTGAGAGAATAAGAGAAAATGAGTGACTGTGAATGAGTGAGAGAAAATTAGTGAAAATGAGTTGAAAATGAGTGAATGTGAGTTAGTGAGAGGGAGAGAAAATTAGTGAAAATGAGTGAATATGAGTTAGAGGGTGTGAGAGAGAAAGAGAGAAGGAATGAACTTTTTTTTTGAGAGAAAAAGAGAAGGAATGAATGAATGTGAGACTGATAGGTGCGTGCGTCAGGTCACTGTAGAAATCCTTATCAGAATTCTTTCAAAACTCTCTCATTCACCGACTAACCTAGTTTCAAATCCTTTAACAAGGTAACACCTTCAAATTATCACGTTTCCCTGTAAGGGCGCAACTGCTCCCAGGCAAGGACCAAACAACCCCACAACAAAATTTGAAAAATTCTCCAGGTCAGAGTGGTAAGTCAGAGTAGCAAACAGAGTAGCGACAGTGTGTCTCAAATTTACCCTCACTAAACTTCCGAAAGATGTTCCTCTCGACGAACCATGTACCTACTCTTCTCATCCTCTCACCTCGTCCGACTCCGTGGAATCACAGTTGAAAGACACGGATTAAGAGACGACAAAGCTGAGTAGAAAAAAGGGTCGGAATGTTACGCAAGACGTTAAGTACGTCGGTCTTGCCGGATTCAAAGGTTCGACGTGTTCAAGTGAAGGAAGAGTCACGTAAAAGGCAGAAGTGACCTGACCCGACCTCCAGAAAGGCGGTACACCTTCGCCAAAACCAATCAAGCACGGTTTGGAATGCCGTTTTGCTCTCCGGGGTCTTCGACTTCCATTTGCGGAATGAACTCAAGAAGAACCTTCCAACGCTTCTTCTTCTTCCTTCACGACTCGGTTGTACCAGCACTTGTTCATGCCAACCTCGATCTTCCTTCGCCACCAGTATACATACGCGCTACGCCTGTGTTCACACTCTATTTTCTGCCCGCGTGGGGGCAATTTAGCCTTAATTGAGATTCTACCGAACCGCGTCCTTGATGAGTTCATCTAGATCCCCTAATGCATCATCGTGTCGCTCGTATTCCGCCGTTGAATAATATTTTCTGGCTTATGCGCGACGATTAGGGAACTTAGGGGTGGTTTCGGAAAGAGTTCCGAGTCCTTTGGACGATTTTGGAAAAGTTACAATTTATTTGTTTCGTTTTTTTTTTTTTAAATTCATGATCAGTCTTGCAGTTTGCATAATTAAATGATAATTTTGAAATTTTGCAAGCTACAGGGGGGAGTTCCCTTAACGCCGGACGGCACCTAATATCGAAATTATATCTGCAATAATTGAAACCGAGCCGTTATTCTGCGTATCTCCTAGAGGAGGCAAAAGGAATAGAAATAAGGTTTCTACGTGTTTCAGTCGTGTGTGCACAGGTAGAGATTTATTTAAGGAAAACCTTAAGTGCCCGGCGCTAGGGGAACTCCCCCTAAATAGCAAAGAGAGATATCTACAATTCTTCAATTTTAGTATAACACAGGCAATAAATTTGTGTTTTTGGTAAATGGTTGATGCAAACGATTAAAATTCTGAAATTTGTGAATTGGTAAAAGTTGAACGTCCTTGATTGGTAAAAAGCGTATCGTGATGGAAGTTCCAGACTGGATTATGCGAACTAAGTGGGAGATATGATGTAATCGAAATTTTTCGAAAGACGTTCCAGCACCGTGGGAGGTCCTGATAAATATGCGTGGAATTCGCGTTCTTTTTAAAATGGCACGTGAAGACTACCAGGAATAACACTATAACCAGTCCAATCGAATTATGCTTTCATGTATGATAATAAAATCGACAAATTTAACCACTCCACTTGGAACGTTCGACAATTCTCATTAAAGAATTAATTAACTAACTTCAGTAAAGTAACTGGAAATAAATAACAACAGACACGAATGGATTTTTAATTGGGAAATTATAAAATGACCTATTCTACTTCCAGATTTTCAACAATGAACAATTTCAATGAAAATAAAAAAAGATACAAGAAACTAAAGGGAAACCTAACGTCGCAGGATTAAAATCTGAAACAACTCATCAATTCCCCAAGGAAAAGCCTGATACGAGATTTACAAAGACTTCAGAGAATTCTCTGAAACGACCCAACAATTTCCCAACTTTCCTCCACCTTGCAACTTAACACAATTAACAAACAAGCAAACACACTTAACACTTTCTCCACGGCAACCGATCACGTTTCTCACATACCGAAAGTTTCTCCAGGAATTTCGATCGACGATTCCGATGGAGATGCACCGGTGCAAAAACAGGGGGGACAGTGGAAACACGAGATGCGACGAAACAATTTCACGAAGACAACTTCTGGCCCGTCTGCCTCGCTTTTTCGAGAAACACGCGGCTCGAAGGGGGAGGGCAATTAAATAATTGGCTCATTAAGGCGGCGGCTCGTTTCACGATCGGCCCGATGCGCTTTCGAGAGAAACGCCATCGCGGGGAAACGATTCCGGCGACGAGAAGATAACGAGAACGCGAACAGACCACGACGACGAGTGCTGTATCTCGCGGAGTCAATTAGTCAGAGGACGATAAATCGGTCCGTGGATCCGATCAATTCGCCGAATTCGTGGCCAAGGGATAAATACCTGGCTGTTCTCTTAAAGAGGAAACGTTTGCGGCTGTGACGAGATAATCGTAGAAATTTTTGCGAGATTGTTGCGTTTCAGATGAATCGATTGATGCAGAATTTCAAACGAGGGCAAATTTTTATGTACTTTGTCTGAAGGTTAATTAACTTTGATAAAACGAGTGGAAGTCGTATAATATAACGACCTAGATCTAGTAATATTATTTTATTACTTATATCCATAGAGGATACTGATAGAGTTTGATCGGAAAAAACTGAGACACCGTTCAACATAAATACTGCTATTAACCAGTAACCAACTATTTTATAATCTAAAGTGTAATTTTCTATGGCTGCTATTTATTAGATCAGTATCTTCATTGAAAAATTAGTAAACATAATAATTTGTCAGTATTTCAAATAATACAAAATGCAATTTAATACCGCCAATTAACTAAAATATTCATTTTTACAGACTAATTATTTAAAAAAATAATGACCAAATAAATAGAAGCGATTTTCCATATAAACCTCCTATAAGACAGAGAAAAATTAAATCGTACATCAGTGCACGTTTGTCTGGCAAAAAAATTACAGTAAAAGAAGGGTTGAGCTGTAGCCACCAAAAAGCAGCGTCTCACCCAACAATCGGTGGTCATTTGCATGTTTACTTCATAGCTGACGTGCTACGTGTGTTCCAGGAACTAGCGTGCACGCGATGAACGGTGGTTACATTATCGTGAATTAGTCGGTGACCGTTAATTAATCGATTCCTCGAATAATGGAAGTCGCGATACGTGGCAGCTGGCAAACGACCACGCCTCGAACCGTTGTCCGCGATAAAGGGAGGACACAACGCCGGCTCTTTCAGTCATTACGCCGTGAACCCGTGATAATGATCGGTTGATTAAGTCGGCCTGACCCCCAGGTTGGCCCGAGACGTCGGCTGAATCGCCATACGTGCTCGATGAAACGGTGAACTCTCCTGGCATTGAGCGGTTTATTATGAATCACCGGGGCTCCCTCTCAGCCGACTATAACCGGCTCGACTATGTAGCGATGCGCGCCAGAATTGTTTCCAGTCACTTTAAACGATACGATCACCAGGGATTCCCGTGGAATGCATCAAGCAAATAAGCTCTTCTGGACTTTGAAAATTAACCGGTACAGTGCTTTGCAATCTTTAATACCGTGAAAACCGAAGAAAAAATTTCGAGGCCCAACCGGGAATCGAACCCGCGACCTCCCGAATGGCAAGCTGAGACTTTGCCCATTACGCCAATAACGCCCTCTCTATTTTTCTTCGTCGGTTCCCTATCTGAGTATAGCCCCCGATTCTACAATATTGCAATAAACTTTCCAACCATTGCTGGAACGTTTCAACATTTTTAAGAAATTAATAATTGATCATTTTTATTAAATTAAGACGGAAGTGCGCAAAGGGCAAAAATTAAGGGTAAAAGTGTGCCAAAGGCACAGCGCGGGCAAATTTTGCAAGAGCAGTGAAACGGTTAAAAAGAACACTTCACTAACGAAAGTATTAAGCAACAACGTGAAACTCACATAATCCCTTTGATCCATTATTTTCGAACAAAAGCTAAGCACCGACAGTACTACAGTTTCGTTTCACGAGTTAAGAGGCTGGTTACACGTTTCCCTATTTACGGTGATCGCGAGGTCGGTCCACGTTGTAAATCGGTCTGTTTATGGCAGCACGTGGTCGTCGATAGAGAAACGCGGTGGTTACGCATACACACACACGGACATTTATGGACAGGAAGGGCCGAAAAACAGCGGGTTTCGACGTCGGCGGCGCACTCCGACCCCCGGAGGGCATGATTTATGACGAGGCTGGCTAATTACCATGAGGCTGGCCCGGATACACAAGCAGATATCACAGATATTGATTCAATTATCGAGATTAATGGCCGCGGGACTGTGACGACGGTGTAGAACCGGTGATTTATCACAGAGGGAACGCGAGGAGGAACCACTGCCGCGCCGCCGACGTCGTCCTCCTCGTCGCTTGGCCAAGAGATCACCATTACCGCCGGCATAAGCATCGCTATCGGCATCGCCATCATCCTACCACGATGGAGGAACACCGCCAGGGATACACGAGAGGGAATCCTGGACCTGGCTAAACGTGTCAACGGCCGAGGGCCTGATTTACTTTCGTTCCCTAAGTCGTGACTAATCTTTGCCATCAGAGCATCGCCGTGAGACTCACGATCATCGGAAAGCTGATCCGGATCATGGGGCTTTTCGGAGACCGGATCACTTTTTCGCTGCAGTAAGATGGAAACAATGGTAATAGTGCTCTTTGTTGTTTCTTCAGTGGGTTCTTGAGTTACTTTGGTCGCACGGGAGAATTTGTGCTTCGATACTGTGTGCTCGAAGGGTTCGGTGTTTGGACTTTTTGACTGCATTTGACTATTCTTTGCGACTTTTTGGCTGCATTTGAATATTCTATATGACTTTTTGGCTGCACTGAGACGGGAACGATAGTAACG